ATTGTAATTTCTTGTTTGATTAATAAGAAATTATCTGTGTGGCTCCCGAGGACGTAGGCAGTTGCCGAACCTCGTTAAATCTTGGTGTACTTTTCTCTATACTGCGTTTCTGTTGCATTAGGGGTTTAGGCGTTAAATTCCCAACAGCTAACTTAGCAATCTATTTACGTTTCCAAAGTTGATGCATCCTCCCTGTATAATATACAAATTTGAGTATAACAGTGATATCATCTACACGAAAATACTGATCTAATTACAACTTACTGACCCCTGGCTGCCTACTAGATCGAATTGCAATCACCTATTTACTACTTCTTTTATCAGCTTACTTTCTGTTAGTTAGTGTTTAAGTATACAATGGAAGGGACTTTAAGATGTGTTAACGTACAAAATCGAAATCTTTGATGCTCAGAGCTTCGAAATTTTATTAAATGGAAGGGATTTTAAGATGGTACTAGAGTAACCCCGATTCAAAACTCATCGGATATGAATCGAAAACATATTTAAAAGAGCACCTTTAGCAAAAAGAAGATATTGGCCATAAAAGTATGTCAACAAATACAAATATTTGAAACAAGATAAGGCGGCGTAAATTTTCGTGTTCCAAATTTTTCAAAGGAAAACAAACCATATGCATCCCTTTTATTTGTGCAGTTGTTCTCAAAGATACATCTCTTTGTTTTATTATTACCTACTTAATGAAACAGGTTGGATTCTTCCACCTTTCCTTCCCAAGAGGAAAATATGCTTAACGTTCTCTTTCCAAATAAGGAAAACATTTGACCATATGCAAACAAATCTTACAACGTTTGTCTCGCCTCAAAATTAATTAGACACAGCCTTGAGTACCCAGATGTTAGCAGTGAACTAAAACTTTGGTAATAACGTCTAAGAACTGAATCCTTTCTTAAAAGCAGTTTCAGGATTTCTATCGATTAGAATTAACACCATTAAATTCTCCAAATGTTGCCTCCTTTGTTCTGCATTTTTTTTCTATGGATTTCAGTAGGATATGCTACAATTCAAAAGAATATCACAGTCGATCAGTCTGGAAATGGAGACTTTAAGACTGTGCAGGAGGCAATCGATTCTGTTCCCGATGGTAATAAAGACTGGATCAAGATCCATGTTAATCAAGGAGTTTACAGGTCAGCGACGAGCTTTAATCTTTTATTTTACTTCATGTTTCCTGTGTTTGATGAAAATTTTGAGCTTGTTATTTGTACTTGATGTCAATGAGCTGAAGCACCTACTTGTTAACAATGACTTGAGGGCTTTAATAAAACTTCTTCCCTGGATGCATCTAAAATGATTGCATTTAGATTGACAAATTGATCCCTATATTTCACGGAATTATTTGAATTGGATTGGTTTTTTATGTGATGTACTCAAAGCATTTTAAGTGTACCATGTTCAATTTAACTATATGGGAGACAATACCACTAGATTCATACAACCATCTGCGCCCTGCTGCGGCTCAAGTCCTTTGATTTTTAGGTAAATCTCAGAAACCCCCAAAACTTTGAGGTTTTGCACTAGATTCATACAACCAAATATAACTTGAATATTACTGTAAGTTGTCAATATTACGCTATAACCTGTTTATGAGAATTTCTAATATTTCAGAGGGTTTAGTATAATGTTTTTAGTATTTTCATTAAATGTTGGTTTATTACTACAGAGAGAAGGTTATGATATCAGTTCCAAAAGAGTACATCTTCTTGGAAGGAGATGGAGCGAAATTGACTAAGATACAATGGGGGGATCATGCTTTCTCTGATTTGAATCAATCGAATAGCGATGTGTCGATTCCTCAAGACACAATGCAGAGTGCCACCTTCAGCCTCTTTGCATCCAATTTCAAAGCTCAGGGTATCGAATTTACAGTAAGCTCTGTTCTAATCCTCAATTTACTAATATATAGTTCTGAATGTAAATCTCTAGTTCAAATAAAAGACTGTCACAGCAATGCTAAGGAGAGGTACCACATTGTTTAATTCCTAGTCACCATCCCTAAGACTAACATAATTTTCATCCATCATCGCATAAAAACAATTCCAAGGCTTCAATATAACTACAAATTCAAAAATATGTTCCATTTTCTACTTGCAGAACACATACAACTTGGGCGACGATACTCCTATAATCCAAGCAGTAGCAGCACTGATAGGAGGAGACAAGGCCTCCTTCTACGATTGCAGTTTCATCGGTAACCAGGACACACTGTGCGATTACTTAGGCCGCCATTACTTCTACAATTGTTTTATCGAGGGGGCTATTGACTTCGTCTTCGGGTTTGGACAGTCCATATATGATGTATGTCCAGTGGTACTAAGTTCAAGAATAGGACCAAGTATGGATGTAGTAGGTTTTAGGGTTAATTGCAGATTGACACCCATATGTAGTTCTATTGTTTCTGACAGATTCCCCAAGTGATTCTTTTTGACTCTTTCACCCACATATAAAGTGAAAATTGTTTTTTTTAATACAAATAGACCTTCTGAGTTTTCTCCAAAAAAAAAAAGACCTTCTGAGGTTAAAATGAGTCAAAAAATAGGGAGTATATCTGCACCAATAGAACTACTGTGGGTCTATCTGAAATTAACCTGAACTCCGGCTAAATTCCACTTGAACCAAAAAACTAACCTCAAATTTACCAAATATGTGTGATACGGGTTTATATGTAGTTAGTATAGTTAAGCTAAAATACATTTGTCTACTTGACTGAATCCATGACTAACCTATTCATTTTGCTATTCGTTTTCGCAATGCAGCACTCCACAGTTTCGACCCTTGCAGATGCGCAGAGAACGGGCTACATTACAGCACAGGGACGGATGGACCTCAATGCTAGTGGGTTCGTGTTCAAGTACACTACAATAACAGGAAGTGGAAAAGCCTACCTCGGACGGGCATATGGTCCATACTCAACGGTTGTCATTTATAAGACATACATGAGCAATATTGTCGTCCCTCAAGGTTGGGATGCTTGGGACCGAGTTGGCAAGGAGTATGATATGGTCCCCCTATCATCTCTTCACTTAAGTTTAGAGTGAATTGCAGATTATCCACCACATCTAAACCTTCAGTCGCACTTATCACCCCTCAACTATTTTCATCGCACTTGATCACCCGGGATTGACATATGAGAAGGATGAATTATAGATAACCCCCCTCTCCCTCATGCATTGAGGGTTGAGAGGGGTTATCTGAAATTTACTCTTGTTTTTTATTTACTGGATGCATGTCTGCACAATTATGATTTCTGATCTGAGATGCATAATGCTACTTATAATGTTAGAATAAGACTAGACCAGGCCATCAATATCTTAATCTTAAACGCTACCTGCCATCTTCACACTTGATAACTGAATGCATAAACAAACCATGCATTAGTTCTAAATCATTCAATACATTATAACGCTAAAACTTCTTTGGTGCAATTTCAGGAGCTTATTTACCTATGCAGAGAGTAGCTGTCGAGGTCCAGGTTCGGATCTTTCCAGTCGAGTGAAGTGGGAGAAAAGGCTCAGTGATCAAGAGTTGGAGAACTATATTAGCATCAAATTCATCGATCGAGAAGGCTGGCTGCTTAAACAACCGTAGCAAGGGTTCGTAGCGTCTCCCATATCTATTTTGTAATAAATGTTGATCACCCCTCCATGGGTCGAAAAAACTATCTAATCATTGTTTACCATCAAAAGCGCTTTCTCTAATAAACATCTTTGAATTGTCAATGTGCTAGAACTTGCTTTTCATTCATATTGGAAAGTGATAGGAGATACGCAGAAATTCTAACAGCGAATTACGTCACAAAGTAAATGTAAGTATTTCACTATCTATTCCCAAACTTGCCCACATTAGACAAACCCAACAAAAGTATTATCAGTGTAAATTCTTCTTATTACATAGTCTACAATACAAGAGAGGTGTTAATTGAATTCCATCTTTTTACATTAACAACCATCTTCTACTTCTATGTGACAAGTTGTCACATACACAAATCACTGGGGTGCCGTGGAGGGTAGGGTAATAATAATTTGAGGCGAAAAAAAAAAGAATATGAGATCCGAGCGATTCACATTAGACCGTGCACGTCAAACATAGGCTTCTCTAGTACAGATATGTCCTATAGCTTTGCATTCATAGATTCATGACGATGCGATTGTACATTATTTGTTGAACAGGGATTCCAGTTACTCTGGTCAGATTTAAGATTAGGGTTAATTAGCAAAAGGCAAATATTTAAGGTTAGCTAAAGTTTAGGTTCTATTATGTAAAATAACAAAATATTATTATACCAACAGAATGATTCTCACTCAATAATACAGCGCAACATGGAAATTTCAGTAATTAAGCAAATCGAGAAGCACATAAGGATATAACCGGATGAGAAAATAAACAGAAATTGGCAATAAAGAACAACTAGAGGTAGTAAACTCAACTTGAGTAGTAAAAGTATTACCAAATGAAGAAACTAAGGGCAGCATGCACGTCTCTAATATCCAAAGAACTAGCAAGACAAAAGTGCAATTCCCTAAATCATGAGGAGCGACATGTTTCTTGGAAGGATATTTTTTTGCATATATATCACCAAATATATCATATTTGCCCCCCAAATCTATATATTTGCTAATTTACCCTCCAAATCTTTCAATTGGTTCTTCCTACACCCTCAATTTTCAGTGTCACTAATTCAGGGGGGTAAATTAGCGAATATCTTTGATAGAGTTTGTTGTAACCAAACTCTGGTTGTGATCTGCTCGTGATCTGCTCAGCACAATTCAGTTGTGCATGGTTATCCAATAACCAGTTTGTGATGATAAGACTAGATATCTTATGTATCTCCTCATGTATATCACCTGTAACTACTCATGTATTCTACAACAATATAAATCACAATGATCACTCACGATTAAAGTGAGTTAGCCCATTTACAAAACTCTGTTCTTGAGATTCTATATGGTATCAGAGCAAGCTCGATCCAATAATCCATCACCATGACAACTTCCAGCTCTACTACCTCCCCTACATCGTCCTCATCATCTGATTTGCCCACTGCCTCGCCTCTCCCCAATTTCGGTAATATTCATCATTTTCTTTCTTTAAAGCTAACTCCAACAAACTACTTGCTATGGAAAACACAGTTTCTTCCTTTGTTAAGGAGTTTCGATCTCCTCGGATTAGTGGAAGGCACAGATCGTTGTCCTTCCCCTTCCATTGTTACTAGTGAATCTGGTCTGTCATCTTTAACTCCAGCATACACTGCTTGGGTTCGCAAAGACCAACTCCTTCTCAGTTGGATCATCGCTTCACTCTCGGAAGAAGTTCTCCCACAAGTTGTTGGTCTTGCAACATCTCATGAAGTATGGCAGGCTTTACACCAAGCTTTTGGCTCTCCGTCACACACTAGAATTCTTCAACTACACACTCAATTGCAAAATCTACAAAAAGGAGATAGTTCTGTCTCCTCCTACTTGAGCAAAGCAAAATATCTTGCTGATGAACTTGCTGCTGCTGGTCAACCCATGCCTCTTGCTACCTTTAATGCTATTGTCTTTAATACCTTGGCTGCTGAATACGGTGAGATGATTTCAGCCTTGTCTGCCAGGACGGAACCAGTCTCTTATCCTGAACTTTGTAGTTTGCTCGTTGGCCATGAAATTCGACTCTCAGCACAATCTGTTGCAGTTCCCTCAATTGTTCCTGCAGCGAATGTTGCTCATGCTCAACATGCTCTACCGAACATTACTAATGACAATCGCTTTCACCGTGGGCGCGGCCGTGGACGTGGTCGTGTCTCCTCTAACCGTCGTGATCCTTGCCCAGTTTGTGGTGTGCACGGCCACAGTCCTTATCGTTGTCGATTCCGTCATCGTGGTCCGCCCAATCCTCAGGCAAATTCTGCACAATTTCAGCACTCATATGCACCTATTGATGATTGGTTTCCTGACACTGGTGCTACACATCATATTGCTCCGGACTTCAACAATTTTCTGACATCTGAAGAGTACAAAGGAGGAGATCAAATTCAAGTTGGCAATGGTAAGCGACTGTCCATATCTCACATAGGCTCAACTCATATTCACTCTTCTTCAAGATCTTTTAAACTTTCAAACGTTTTATGTGTTCCATCCATTACTAAACGTCTTCTTTCTGTTCATCAATTTTCAAGAGATAATAATTGCTTTTTTGAGTTTCACCCTTCTTTCTTTGTGGTTAAGGATCAAAACTCAAAAGCAATCCTTCTCAAAGGACCGAATGAAAGCGGTCTCTATCGCTGGCCTCGTCAATCTCCTTCCAATAAAGAGTCCTCTCCTTCTACTTTTGTCAGTTCACGTGTTTCTTCAGATCTGTGGCATCAACGTCTAGGACATCCAAATGATCGAATCGTGCAACAAGTTCTTCACAGAACCAAGCTTCCCTACTTGCCACGTTCTCAAACAAATAAATGTCATGCTTGTTTTCTTGGAAAATCCAGTCGTTTGCACTTACCTCCTACATGTACTAGAAGTAATGGTCTTTTGGATCTTGTGTTTAGTGATGTATGGGGTCCGTCACCCATACTCTCTTCTAATGGTCATAGATATTTTGTTTTATTTGTTGATGACTACTCCAAATTTACATGGTTGTTTCCTATTAATCGCAAATCTGAAGTGCTTGATATTTTTATTCGTTTTCAGCAACTTGTGGAACGACAATTTAATTGTAAAATCAAGTCATTTCAATCTGATTGGGGGGGTGAATATCGCAAACTATCAACTTATTTTAAACAATGTGGTATTTCCCATCGAGTTGCATGTCCACATACTCATGAGCAAAACGGCTCCGCAGAACGAAAAATTCGTCACACCGTTGAAATTGGTCTCTCTTTACTTGCTCATGCTTCTGTACCTCATCGTTTTTGGCACTTTGCTTTTGAAACGGCTATCTATCTTATTAATCGCTTACCTACATCAGTTCTAAAGGGCAAATCCCCTTTTGAAACCATATTCAACGTTGTTCCTGATTATCAATTTCTCAAAGTCTTTGGTTGTGCATCATATCCCTTTATCCGTCCTTACAATAGTTGTTCCTGATTATCAATTTCTCAAAGTCTTTGGTTGTGCATCATATCCCTTTATCCGTCCTTACAATAAGCATAAATTCGCATATCATTCAGTCCGTTCCCTTTATCCGTCCTTACAATAAGCATAAATTCGCATATCATTCAGTCCGTTGTGTATTTCTAGGATATAGCCCTAGTCATCTAGGATATCGTTGTCTTGATCGTCACAGTGGACGTATTTACATTGTTCGTCATGTGCGCTTTGATGAGTCCTCATACCCATTTAAAGATGACTCCATTCTTGGAGCTCCTCCACTTCCATCTACACAACATCCTTGGCTCTCCGTTGCTGTGCCTTGGTCCGCTCCAAATTCACCTTCATCACCGTCATTCCCACAACCTGTATATCCAAACCATCCTTCTTCTACTCCAGTTCATCCTACGATGTCAGCTACACCACACCTCTCTTCATCTCAGCGTACAGTTTCTACCCCTTCTGTACAGTCGCCATTGAAGCCACGTGAATCTGGACCTCTTTCATTGCCTTCTAGCAATGCGACTATCCCAACTCACCAGATGGAGCTACGTTCGAGAAAGCCTACAGATTATCGACAACTTGCAGGTTTACGTAATTCTCGAGCGCTCTATGCTACGAAGCACCCACTTCCAACTGCACTTCTTTCCCAAAGTGTAGCAATTCAAGAGCCAACGTGCTTTACTGAAGCTAATAAAAACCCACAATGGAGAGCAGCTATGTCAGAGGAAATCTCGGCACTCCTTTCAAATGGCACATGGAAATTAGTGCCTCGATCTCCATCCATGAACATTATTGGGTGCAAATGGGTGTTTAGGCTAAAATACAAACCAGATGGCAGCATCGATCGTTACAAGGCACGTCTTGTTGCGAAGGGGTTTAATCAACAAGAAGGGGTTGATTATACTGATACTTTTAGTCCGGTGATCAAGCCTACAACTATTCGCACAATTCTCTCTATAGCAGTCTCAAAAGGATGGCCTATTCGTCAAATAGATGTGAACAATGCCTTTCTCCATGGTCATCTCTCAGAGGATGTTTACATGTTACAACCGCCAGGCTTCCTTGATAGTAATTACCCTCAACATGTTTGCAAGCTTCAACGTTCTTTATATGGTCTTAAACAATCACCAAGAGCATGGTTTCATCGCCTCAGCTCCTTTCTTCTTAAGTTAGGATTTATGGCATCCAAGACAGACGCATCATTATTCATCTATTCTCATGAAAATATATCATTATATGCACTGGTATACGTTGATGATATCTTGCTTACAGGAAGCTCCCATTCGGCACTCACTCAACTAATTCAGAGTCTTGGTCACGAATTTTCTTTGAGAGATCTTGGTCCTCTTCACTACTTCTTGGGGGTTGAGGTTATTCAACATCCAAAAGGAATAATCCTCTCTCAAAGGAAGTATATTGTAGACCTTCTCACTCGCACAAATTTGGAAGGAATGAAACCTGTTCAAACACCTTTATCGACTACAACCAAGCTCACTCGTACTGGTACCTTATTCAGCGATCCATCATTGTATCGTCAAGTGGTTGGTGCTTTGCAATATGTTACTCTCACTCGTCCAGATTTGGCATTTGCGGTAAATAAGGTATGTCAATTTATGAGTGCTCCGACTATCGATCATTGGCAAGCAGTCAAGCGCATTCTAAGATATCTGAAGCATACAATATCTCACGGCTTGTTTATCTCTACATCACACTCCCTTGATCTTCATGCATTCTCAGACGCTGATTGGGCAGGTTGCCCAGATGATCGAAAGTCCTCCGGCGGTTATGCTATTTTCTTGGGAAATAATCTTATTTCATGGTCAGCTCGCAAACAACGTACAGTTGCTCGGTCCTCGACCGAGTCTGAATATCGTGCACTTGCTAATACAGCTGCAGAGTTGATATGGCTTCGATCATTGCTTAATGAACTGAAATTTCCACTTCAATCTTCTCCAACTTTGTGGTGTGATAATCTAGGTGCAATATATCTTTCTGCAAATCCAATTTTTCACGCTCGCACTAAACATATCGAAGTGGATTTCCATTTTGTTCGTGATCAGGTGGCAAAGGGCTGGTTACACGTACGTTTTATATCGACAAAGGATCAAATTGCTGATATTATGACGAAGCCTCTACCGAATAAAAGTTTCGCTGCTATCCGTGACAAGCTGTGTGTTCGCCACTGTGAACCCTCAGCTTGAGGGGGCGTGATAGAGTTTGTTGTAACCAAACTCTGGTTGTGATCTGCTCGTGATCTGCTCAGCACAATTCAGTTGTGCATGGTTATCCAATAACCAGTTTGTGATGATAAGACTAGATATCTTATGTATCTCCTCATGTATATCACCTGTAACTACTCATGTATTCTACAACAATATAAATCACAATGATCACTCACGATTAAAGTGAGTTAGCCCATTTACAAAACTCTGTTCTTGAGATTCTATAATCTTGGTGGAGGGTAAATTTGTTACGTTGGATAACATGATTTTCCTCCTTAAATATTGGAATTTAAGTACCAATCCAAAGAAGGAAAGGGGAGATCCAATATATATGGTAAAGTTTGCTAAAACTTTGAAATGTGAGTAAATACTACAATACATGTCAATGTGAAGGATCTAGTATGTAGGATCGCATGAATTGCCCTCATTGGATATTGAATCTAATATCCAAAGAAAGAAAGCAAAATCAAATTTTAGCATGTTCACAAATACACATTATTAAACTCGGACCTTGGAAGTTTTAACAAACTATGATCAAGTTTCTTGAGTATAAATGTACGTAGCTCTCTACTACTCACACTTCTCCTTTTTCTATTAGCTGAAGATGTGCAAGCTTCACTCTTTGTTCTTCCTTCTATTTTCAATCTTCTCCTATATTAAACTCTCTAAAGGATCCCAGCCAATTTCGAAAACAATAACAGTTGATCTCAACGGTCTTGCTGATTTCAATACCATTCAAGATGCCATCAACTCTATACCAGATAGCAACAATGAATGGATCAAAATCCACATAAATCAAGGGACTTACACGTAAAAATCTGTATCCAACACTTCTCAACTCCTTATACTCATTTTCTTCATTGGCTTATCTTGTGTTATGAGATTTTTTTTTTTTTTTTTTTTTTTTTTTCTGGTTTTTTTTTTTTTTTTTTTTTTTTTTTGCAGAGAGAAGGTCACCATTCCATACCAAAAAAGCTATATAATTCTTGAAGGCGATGGATCAAATGAAACTTTCATTCAGTGGGGTGATCATGAACCAATAATTAGACCGGATTTGGATGCAGATATCAAAATCTCTTGGAACACTGCGACTTTTCTCTCTCTTGCAGATAATGTTATTCTCAGTGCACTCACTTTTAAGGTATTGCCTTACAATAATTTATTTCTTTTATTTGTTATATGTTTCATTAGGATTGTGTCTTTGATTCTTTATATAACTTCATGAGAATTAAATAGAGTTGGAGATTTATCATGATTAGGAGATTAAATCTCATCATGATTAAGAGTTTGAATCCTATTCTAATTAGGAAGTTAGACTAGAGATAGAGTTTTGGTTTTCCTATATATATTCTTCTATTATTGGAGGAAAAACCAAGCATATGAGATAGAACCAATATTCTTGTAATCTAGGGTTAGCAGAGGACGTAACCTGATTCAAGAATATTATGCGAGAGGCGAGAGTTTCGTAGTCTTTGTCCGTGCAAAAGATTACATCATGAGGAGAGGGTTTCGCAGTCTTTGTCCGTTCAAAAGATCATAAGGAGTGTGTTTTGGAGAGAATATGAGAGTTGATTATGTATGTGAGGTTGAGAGATTGAGAGACGAGAGTTAAGTGATTCCTCTTGTAGTTCTCCCTGATACATAGTGGATTTCTCGTATTGTTACCCCGTGGACGTAGGTCGAAGTTGGTCGATCTAACCACGTAAATCTCGGTGTTCTTTCTTCTTGATTGTGGTTGTTTTATATCTTGTTGATTGTGGGTTGGCTTCCAAGTTGTGCAGATCGTAGCAGGCGGGGAGACTAAAATTCCCCAACAATAATTTCTTTCTTTTATTTGTTATAGATTTCATTATTGAAAAAAAGAGTTAATACAAGAATCTTGTAGTTTGGACTATATATGGATATATGAAACGAAGTAGTCTAGCACTCTAGTGCTATTTTTTCTTAGAAAAGAGCATGTCTATGATGTGCGCAAGGTATGGTTCCTTTCAAAACATGAGAAATATTTGTATCATGCACAAGACATGATGTTTTAATTATGAGGGCATGCTTTCAACACGTATAAGATGCATGATACTTGCACACGTCAAAAGCGGTAAACCCATTGCACTTGTGCATTAAATTTATATACTCTACAAACTATAGAAATAGATGATATGGTCTACAAACTTGTACAAACTTAAAGGAGATGGTGATTTCATAGTAAATGATGGATTGAGGTATATTTGCAGAATACATATCAAGATTTGGATAACCCACAAAATGCGGTAGCTGCTCTCATAAATGGTGATAAAACCTCAGTATATGGTTGTAGCTTCATTGGAATCCAAGATACTTTATCCGACCTTTGTGGACGACATTATTTCAGAGACTGTTCTGTTGAAGGAATTGTAGACTTCATTTTTGGTTACGGACAGTCCATTTACGAGGTATTCATCTTCGTTCTTTATGTTAGGACAAAATATTCATATATTATTGGAATTACTGGTGGATTGTGGATGTAATTTAATGTGATTAGCTAAGTAAATCACCCTTAAAATATCCCTTTTCTACGCAACCTTTCTTAATTGCATATGTTTTCCTGTCTTGAGTTTAAGTTGTATTTTAATTGTGACAGTCAGAGTTCAGTCAAAACATAACAGATCTATCATGAAAATTTCAAGGGTTATTTGAGGATAGGCCCCCTTTAGCATTGTTTGAAACTTACCACCTCTCTAGTTTTACTGTTGCAGATAGACCCGTGTGAATTTTTTCTGACTATTTTACCCTAAAAGAAAGGGAAATTTGTTTTCTGACAAATAGACCCTATGAAGGTAAAAGAGTCAAAAAATTTCATTCAAGGGGTCTATATGTTCAGCACAACAATACTAAGGGGTTCTATCTGCGACTAAACCAAAATTTAATGAAATGTTTCTTGGACATATCTCAAACTAACAATTACAAAGTTTCTCAAATAAAAAATAGTCCTTTTTATTGTTAATTAAATCTGTTATTTTTTTTTTCTTATGTGCAGGGTTGCACACTAAATACGGTGTCTAGCGGTGTGCCTGTGGGTTATGTAACTGCACAAGGAAGGCAGCAAAGCAATGACCCAAATGGATTTGTGTTCAAAAATTGCCATATAGGGGGTTCTGCAGAGGCATATCTAGGGAGAGGATGGGGAAATTATTCAAGGGTTTTATTTTACCAAACCTACATGGAAAATATTATTGTTCCTAAAGGGTGGATAGATTGGAGAGCTGGGTATGGTGGGTAAGTACTCTCTCCTGAATACGCACATACGATTAGAATACATATATCGAATCAGAAGAAAATACGGATATGAATACTGTTATTTTCTTTGTCATTGGATACAGATAATAGACTGTGTGTCAATATTCAGACAATGACTAGATGGCCGAAATTAGTTTAGCCATGGAGTAGTTGATATCAAGCCAGTTTTTTGGCGATCCAGAAATCTAAATCTTAGATATTCTTAGGCATGTCTAACATAATTATAGCATGATTCTAGTTTTGTGTCACCTTACTTATTGTTTACCACGTTACCTTTTCGTTTTTGGGACTTATTATCTGCATTCTTCATTCCAATATGTCTCTGACTGTTCTCCTTCCATCTGACCCATATATGCATCAGATTTTAGCAGATATGGATATGAACTTTTTACGAATGATAAGCAAATCATATTCATGTCCATGATTAGTAAACAAATAAATATACGGTATGAATGTATATGTATCTGGCAGCAAACGCAACACTTCTGTCTACACTGGACATAGTACTAAAATTTTGAGCTTGGCCTCACGCATTGACAACAATACATGAAAGAAGACTAAAATATGTATCTGTGAGTTACAATCATGAAATTATTGAAGGCCTTGAGGAAACTACAATTAACGAAAGTTGATTGGAAAGAGGACACTATTAACAAAAAATTAGTTGTTTTGCAGGAATTTCACGACTTTCGCAGAATCTGACTGTATTGGACCTGGTTCAAACACTTCAGGCAGAGTAAAATGGGAGAAGGAACTCAGTGATGACGATGTTAAGAAGCTTACAAGCATATCAACCTTTATTAATTCTGATAATTGGCTTGACCAACAACCAAATGACTATGGCTATACTTCTGATTGAAGTATTCATAAAGGAATGTTGTGTGTAGATATTAAGATTACACCGTGTGGTACATATAGCATTATATGCGAGTATAGTCAATAGTGTACTATTCAATCTAGAGAGGAGATTGTTTTCTGCTTAACATTTGGATCATATTATGGTGCAAGTATATTTTGATTCTTCTTGTATGTAAATTAAAATTTATAAAGATTTTAAAGAGAGACATTAAAGAAAAACATGAAAGGAAGAAAACACCGAGTTTGTTTGGTCATATCATACCGGCATATGTTGATAAATAAAGAAGATGTCAAGTGACAGAGAGTTTCTATTAGAAATGGAAGAATCTTCAGCAATTGAAAACTCTTTTATTCATGAAAATAAAGAAAAGAATAAGACACAAAATTATCTGTGGTTGGCATTAATTTACCTTATAGTTATGAATCCATTTTTAGTTCTCTCAAAAAATAACTCCATATTTAGATGCAAAATAGTTTTCTTGCCAGTTTGAACCAATTCCCGCTTTTCTCTCTCTGCCTTTGAACACAACCAAAAAAGACAATACCTACATTAACAAAAAACCGACAAGCACTTTTAATGCCTCCTCTTGAGAAGATGGAAATCTCAATCCAGAAACCCCTAAAAAAATGTCAAAATTACAATCACCTTCATATATTCTCATCCTTTTCTTCCTCTTTGTTCTCTCCCTTTCTTCCACTTTCGAAATTGTCTCTGCTGGAGTTCACAAAAAGAAAGACTTAACCAAGAAAGATTTAATTGATGCTCCTCTTTTAGACTCAAAGATTAAGACGAATCGAACAATTCTAGTTGGCCCAAAAGAGAGGATTAAATCAATTCAAGATGCCATAGATAGAGTTCCTAAAGGGAATTCAGAGTGGACCATTATTCACCTTCGAGCTGGAATTTACAGGTAAAAACATTAATGTCTTATCGTAATATGACAAATATTCATGGTAAGATATCCTTAGTTATGTTAATGGCAGTTGCAAATATGAAGTTTTACATTTCAAACATGAAATATGCAAGTGTAAAAGGGTTGGCTGCGTATTATACATGAGAACCCCATCCTATTAAACCTGATGTAATTGATAATGTGAGATATACATAATGTTTATATCTCTAGAGAAAATTCCTTCCAATAAATATGCTTTCATGATTATAAATGTTAACAATGTTAGGCTATTAGTGACTTCTTTCTTTAAAGGATTTATTCATCATTTCAACTATCTTTTTTCTGGATGATAGAGAGAATGTTGTGATACGTAACGGTTTCAGATATTTGACTAGGAGAGTTATTTCGTGATACATAATGGTTTCAGATATTTGACTAGGAGAGTTTCAATTGCAAAATAGTTTCAGATATTTAAGAGGGTAAGTTCTGCATAAAGTTTTCTTACTTATGTTATCTCCAATTCATCATTTTGGACTGGATAATGTTATCACAAATATAAACAACCTTTATGTTTAGAATATGCAAATGCAACTATAATAAGATTATTTGCATATTGTACATAAAATCCCATATCCTACAAAAAGATATATTAACGAGCTGAGATAATACAATGTGTATATATCTCAGGAAAAAATCCCCATGATAAATATGCTTCATGCTTATACCAGAATTTCTTCGCAATTCTCATTTGTAATTTTCTCCTTTATGTCAGAGAAAAGGTTATGATACCAAAAAACAAAGAAAAAATATTTCTCAGAGGAAATGGAAAGGGAAGAACAGCGATCGTATGGAGTGATGGTTCCTCTGATAACTCTGAGTCTGCTACATTCACCGTTCACGCGAATAATTTCGTCGCATTTGGAATCAGCATCAAGGTTAATTACTTTACTCAATCTCATGCAATATTCTCATAGAACAATTCCAATGAAAATCTACCATAATGTTGTATTATTATCAGAACGATGCTCCTCTGTCGGTTAAGGACACACCCTTCAATCAGTCTGTAGCGGTGATGGTTGCTGGAGACAAGGTGGCATTTTATCACTGTGCATTTTATAGTCCTCACAATACTTTGTTTGATAACAAAGGGAGGCATTATTATGAGAGCTGCTATATTCAAGGAAATATTGACTTCATCTTCGGCCGTGGCCAGTCTATTTTTCAGGTAAAGTTGTTTGTATTAGTCTATAGACTTATGGCATTTGTATCTCATAACAACTTTGAAGTTTTGATACGAAAGGAAAAAATTTTAAAGACGGATCAGAAAAATAAAAAAGTATCCTCAGCAACTTCAGTGATACATATCTGATATCTAGCATACATTTGGTACTGTAACCATAATATTTTCTCTCTTTTCCTTTGTATGTCAAACCTTCAGAGCTGTGAGATATTTGTGCTCGCCGACCAAAGAACGAAGATCCTTGGCTCAATTACATCACATTACAGGCAATCAGCCAAAGAAAAAAGCGGCTTTGTTTTTCTTGAAGGAAAAGTGTATGGAACTGGCAGTGTATATTTAGGACGTCCACGAGGAGCTCATTCGCGCGTAATTTGGGCAAAAACTTATCTCTCAAAGTGTATTGATCCTCATGGATGGACTGATTGGAGTTATGATGGACATACTGAGTAAGTTACTCCTTAAAAGCTCAGCGCATAATTCATAATGAGGTTTATTGTGTATATATAGACCCCTCGCTCTTTAGACTTAGTACATCTCCAGTTTTACTGATGTAGATAGACACCTGAGTGACATTGTTTCATGGAAAAATATACACCCGTCAACAAATTTTCGGTCAGGGTTTACAATATAAACTAGAGGGTACTAAGTTCAAAACAACAATACTAAGGGGATCTAAACTTAATTAACCCTTCGTAATAATAAGGCTAAATGTCAGAAAACCCCCTTAGCTNCCCCCCCCCCCCCCCATAACATTCAAAATATCAGAAAACCCAAAAACTTTGTCCTGTTATTGAAAATCTAATCCCATGCACACAATTACAACCAGCTATGCTTGCTTTTCTTCAGATAGTTAGTTTGGATCAATATTTAAATTCTCTCAAACTCTCTCAACGCAATATTTCCTTAATCTGATATTGAACAGACAAGTACTCCAAGGAGAGTATCAAACCAAAGGTCCCGGCGCCGACCCAGCAGGCAGAGTTTCATGGTCAAGCCAACTCGGAGAAGAAGAAACCGCTCCTTTCATGACTGTAGATTTCATCAATGGAAAAGAATGGCTACCAGCTTATAATCACTAAAAAATCATTGTAATTAAACTATACTGTGTACATATGTATTTCACTTGTATAAAGTTTGATTTATATATATCAATGTAAAATGACATTTGTTCTATAGCGTACATTTTCTGTGCATATTTTTACATATTTTAGGTTTGGTTATGTACTCGAGTTTCTATTTTCTCATTGAGTACATGTCACTAGTGAAGATGCTAATACGCACTGTGGCTGTTGCAATGCAAGTGTCAGCTAGATGCAATTGCAATTATCATAATATTTGTTACGTGTAGTTGTAGGTATTGTTATTTAGTTCAATTGAAATTTATACAATTTGCAGTTGCAGTTGCACGTACTTCTTTTAGATATTTTCATTTACTTCTTTTAGATATTTTCATTTATACAATTTGCTATTACAGTTATAGTTGCACGTATTTCTTTTATATTTCTTTTAAACTTATGTTGAGATGGTTATAAGTGGATGGCAATTTAAACCCTGTTTATATCTGAAATGTTGTGCGCGGCGGAAGCTTTCTAGGGCAACACGAACAATACTCGAACTAAACCACAAACAATATGCAAACCACAATCACAGCAAGAACACACAATTTACGTGGTTCGGCAAGTTGCCTACGTCCACGGGGCAAGGAGGGGGGAGTTCTTTCTACTAGAAATCAAGAGAATACAAATAGGGTTACAAATCTCTCAGACTAAACCCTAAAACAAAACTCTAGATCTCTCAAAGCTCTCTTACAATTTGATGCAATGATTCTCTCTCTTTGGCTGCTCAAATTCGTCCAACCTCTACCCTAAACAAACAGGTTTAGGTATATATAGAACTTACAAAACGAACCGGGTCGAAAACCTGAAAAACTGATATCCGCTTCGTCGGTCGACCGGACCGGTCGACCGCGATCAATTCCGGTCGACCGGCCCGGTCGACCGACCAGCTCCCAGTCGAAAACCCAAAAATCCAGAGAACCCCTCGGTCGACCGCACCGGTCGACCGACCACCTTCCTGACGCACAGTAAGCTTTGTGCACGAATGCGGTCGACCGGACCGGTCGACCGCCGCCTGTTGAGGTATATATAGAACTTACAAAACGAACCGGGTCGAAAACCTGAAAAACTGATATCCGCTTCGTCGGTCGACCGGACCGGTCGACCGCGATCAATTCCGGTCGACCGGCCCGGTCGACCGACCAGCTCTCGCCCCCCGCCTGTTTTTCCTGATTCTGCTGCTGCTGATGCTGAAATTCCTTCATGAAAGAGGCTCTTTTTGAGAAATATTTAGCAAAAACGACCATTTTGCTAAATATTTAGCAAAATCGACTTTTTTTTGTTATATCACTAAGTCTGATTAAAAAGAGGTCGATTTTTGCAAAATATTTGTTGTGAATTAACGTCGCTGTTTGGCTCAGAAGCCTGCTCAATCAGTCCGATCTTCTTCTCCAGTGCACCACCAAGAACACAAAGGGAGGGAGAAAAGCAACTATTACACAGTCTCTCTCCAGATCTCACAAAGAGGTAAAAGCACAGAGCTTTGAAGGAGCACAGAGCTCAGGTAGGGGAGAGGATCGCACAGCGGGTAGAAGCACAAAGCTCACAGTCTCTTCTTTCTTCTTCCTCTACTTCCTCTCACCAGCTACTACCAACCCATTACCCTTATATAGGGAAGGGGGCAGCCGACATGGGAGAGGCTAGGGGATACGGGGGAGGAGGCTAGGGTTTAGTGTTAGTCTAAGTGTGTAGACCCAAAGCTGCAATCGAAAAGACGAAGAAAACAGTCAGAAGACTGTGCGGTCGACCGCAGTGGCAGAGCCGGTCGACCGCGTGCACTGCAGGAAACTGAGAAGTTTCTGTCGCTCTGGCCGGTCGACCGGCGTGGCCGCTGCGGTCGACCGCAAATGTGCACAGGACCCTGTAAACAGATTTTTCTCTGGCCGGTCGACCGGCCTTGGCACGGCGGTCGACCGCGAATCGCCCAGACAGTTTCCTGATCTGTTTAGGAATCTGTTTCAACCAGGATTCTATATATACCCCAAACGATTTTAGGGTTTGTACTACATCAAAAAAGAGAGCTTTTTGACTGCAAAGAGAGAGAGAATCTCAGAGAGATTTACCCCTTGTTTGAGAGCTTGTATTTTCTTCTTCAATTAATAGAAAGATTGTGTGGTGTGGCTCCCGAGGACGTAGGCACGTTGCCGAACCTCGTTAAATCTGTGTGTTCATCTCCCTTACTGTTTTTGCAAGTTAGATCTTTATTTGTGGTTTTATTCCTACTTTCCTACTTTCAACACAAGGTCCGGAAGGGCAAGGGTTCGATTGATTGTTTCGAATCCCCAACAACTGGTATCAGAGCTTCGTTCAGCAATTTGTGTGAAAGCCATGGCAGAGGAAAGCAAATCAAAGATTGAGAAGTTCGACGGATCGGATTTCGCCTACTGGAAGTCGCAGATGGAGGACTATCTGTACCAGAAGGACTTGTATCGCCCGCTTCTGGGCAAGGAAAAGGGAAAGAAGACGACGGAGTCAGATGGTGATTGGGAGGTACTGGATAGGAAGGCTCTAGGGCAAATCCGGTTGTCGCTCGCCAAATCAGTAGCCCACAATATTCTGAAGGAGAAGACGACGGTGGGGCTTATGGAAGCGCTCGCGAAGATGTACGAGCAACCGTCGGCAGCAAACAAGGTGCATCTAGTCAAAACTCTTTTCAACCTCAAGATGGCAGAAGGACGGTCCTTCACGATGCACCTCAGCGAGTTCAACACGATTGTTGATCAACTTATCTCCGTGGACATCACGTTCGATGACGAAGTGCAGGCCCTTCTACTACTATCGCAGTTGCCGGATAGTTGGGCAGGTTGTGTGACGGCAATCAGCAATTCGGCGGGGAAAGAGAAGTTGAAGCTGAATGAGGTTGTTAGCATGATTCTATCCGAGGAGGTTAGAAGGAAATCGTCCGAATCAGAAGGTTCAGGTTCAGCCCTAAGTTTCGAGCAGAGAGGCAGAAGCCAGAAGAAAGGGAACCAGAACAGGAATCGGTCGAAATCAGTGAAGAAGAGGCCGAACTCGAAGGTTAGGTCTATCAAAGGGAAGTGTTGGAACTGCGGCCAGGAGGGCCATATGTCTTCGGTCTGTAAAGCACCAAAGAAGGATGCGGGTGAGCAGGAGGCTCATATCGTGCAGGATGCCTTGATCCTTGCTATGGATAGCGATTCTGATTCTTGGGTCATCGACTCAGGAGCTTCTTTCCACGCCACTGCAAATAGGAAACTACTTCAGAACTATGTAGCAGGGGACTTTGGTAAAGTATACTTGGGGGATAATGAACCTTGCAATATTGTTGGAAAGGGCGACGTTCAGATACAGATAAAGGGCTCTAAGTGGAACTTGAAGAACGTGAGACACGTGCCGAAGCTGAAGAGGAATCTTGTTTCGGTGGGACAGCTTGGAGCAGAAGGCTACGTTTCGACATTCACCGGGGATTCGTGGAGGATCTCCAACGGTACGATGGTTGTTGCCAGAGGCAACAAAACGGGAACTCTCTACCTCACTTCACATGCGAGTGACACCCTCGCAATTGCAGCTGGCAAGGAGAGTACAGATCTGTGGCACAATAGGCTGGGGCACATGAGCGAGAAAGGGATGAAAATTCTACATTCACAAGGAAAGCTAACCGGGATCGACACCGTGGAAGTCGGGGTTTGTGAAGACTGCATCTTTGGGAAGCAGAAGAGGGTTAGTTTCCAGAAGGGTGGAAGGCCACCTAAGGCTCAGAAGCTAGAGTTGATTCATACAGATGTATGGGGCCCAGCCAGTGTGTCTTGGCTGTTCGAGATACTACGTCACCTTTATCGACGATCACTCGAGGAAGGTGTGGGTTTACTTCATGAAGCACAAGTCAGAGGTGTTCGAGATCTTCAAGAAGTGGAAGGCCATGGTCGAGAACGAGACAGAACTGAAGGTGAAGTGCTTGAGATCAGATAATGGTGGAGAATACGAGCTGGAGGAGTTCAAGAGGTTCTGTGCTACGAATGGGATTCGCTTAGAGAGGACTACTCCAGGGACGCCGCAGCAGAACGGCATTGCAGAGAGGATGAACAGGACCTTGACAGAGCGTGCGCGGAGCATGCGATTACATGCAGGTCTGCCTAAGACATTTTGGGCGGATGCGGTACATACAGCAGCTTACCTTATTAATCACGGGCCATCAGTTCCATTAGATTTTGGGATTCCAGAGGAGGTTTGGAGTGGAAAGAAGATAAATCTCTCACACTTGCGGGTATTTGGTTGCGTGGCTTATGTTCATATCAGTGACCATGTCAGGGACAAGCTAGAAGCTAAGTCACAGAAGTGCACATTCATTGGATACGGCATTGATGAGTTCGGGTATCGCCTTTGGGATGAGAAGAACAGGAAGATCATCAGGAGCCGGGATGTGATATTCAATGAGGAGGTGATGTACAAGGACAGGGACAATGCCAAGGATAGCCAAAGCAGTGGGAGCAGCACTACGGATACAGGTGGATCCGAGTACATGGATATAGAGGAACTTCCAGATAGGGGTGATGATGTTTGTTCTGA